AAAAAAAAATTATATTTTTGATTTATTAAATATATCTTTGTCCTTGATCATGATCATGTTTCCATCAAGAAATCACCAACAAAAATAATAAAATATTTTTTACCACCGCATGTTAAAACATTATTACTATTACACACATCATCATGAATCAATTCAAATAATTTTTTTTTCATGTGTATATAGAAAAGTTTTCTTGACTGCTTTAATTAAACATAAAATTCTGCCTTAAATCAATACAAGATTTAGGAAAAAGATTAAGAGACATATTAAATTTAAGTTATCGCATGTCATATTCCCATCTTTCAACATTTGTAATAATCAAAGAAGAAATATTATATATACATACATACATACATACATATATATATATATATATATATATGGAAACTAACAGTTATTTATTATAAAGTGAATGTTTACATTAAAAACGGTATTGTTATTTTGTTAAAAATGTTAGGGAAGTGTAATATTATTTTTTTTAATATTAATAAAAATTTAAAATATAGGTATATCGTTCAATTTAACATCATATTGGAAATTCCCTAAAACTGGTCGTGTGAAAAATGATGTGTGGATTTCTATTAGAACTTATGGTGTGAACATGAGGTGTTTTTTATCTGTCTAAGAAAACAAATGAAATAATTTAAGTATAACAAATGGTTGGGGGATTCTTGTGAATGATAATGAAAAATAGTTGAAATAACAAACATATAATTCCAAAAAATTATATTCAAAAGAATAATTTTTTAAAATATAATTTTACTCAACTTAATTTCTATATTTAAAACGTTTATTAAAATTTAATATCTCATATTTTTTTCTATTTTATTAATGAGGCAAAGCTGTTATACAGAGATGAACATTTTATTATTATATTTTCACTGTTTTGGAATTTTTTCTGAGTCAATGAAAGTGAAGTAAATTTATAAAAACAAGCTATTGCCAGCTCAAGTTTGAATGCTATTATCCGAAGCATCAAAGAAAGTAATCATTCTCCAATAATAATCAAAAGAAAATGGTAATTTGAAAACCACAGGCCAATGGGGGCAGCACTTAGTTTGATATTTAAGATAACATGTTCTGTAGATAAACAGTGAAATTTGGTAACGAAAAATTTACTTTAAGTTTAACTTTTTACACCACATTTTTTCATGAGATACTCAATTTTAATTTTGTTATATATTATTACTATAATAATTAAAAAAAATGAGTTACTAATTATAATAATTAAAGAATAATTTAAAGTATCTAAAATCTTAATTTTGAAAACGAATTTATGACTAGTTCAAATTCGATAACAATATATCATAGTTTGAAAGTAATAATCTACAATTTCTCAAACAGATTAAATCAATGATTAATTGTCTCTAAATTAGTTTATATTTAATGGATTTTTATAGTATATTTACCCTAATCAATAGTTTTTCTCAAAATATATATGAAATCAATTTTACTTGCTTTATACAAAAGAGCATTAAATAATTTTGAAGTACTACATGATTTCGGTGAAAGAAGCTTCTTAATGTAAAACTAGATTTTGAAAATATAATAATTAAAAAATCTTGAACAGTGTAATAATTATTATAATTTATATTGATGTCATTTTATATGTGACTGTAAAAGATAAATATGTATGAAAAACACATGTTAATATCGTTATTCATCCTTCTAAAAGAAAACTACAAAACCACCAAAAACCAGAATGGTATAAATACAAGCATTGTTCTTCCCAAAACTGCAAAAGCAGATTCGGAAAAAGAAGAAAAAAACACGAAAAGGGGAAAGAAAAAACTAAACAGTTTCATTAGCATTATCTTCAAAAACATGGCCAATGATTTGTCTTCAGGTGTTCAATCATTCGAGCTTGAACACGATCCCCACATTCTTGTAAATGTTTCCGACCAAGAAACCTTTTACTCGTCCTCGTACGAGAATCCTATAGCGAACCCTTGCCATGTCAATGACGCGACTCAATTATTTGCATGCAAAATGGAAGCACCTGTGGCACCGCGTGAGGAGCACGCGCCGCCGAAGTGGAAGCACTTCCGAGGAGTGAGGAGGCGGCCATGGGGGAAGTTCGCGGCAGAGATATGGGATCCGAAGAGAAAACATGGAAGGGTTTGGCTGGGAACGTATGAGACTGAAGAGGAAGCAGGTTTGGCTTATGATAGGGCTGCTTTCAAGATGAGAGGTAGCAAAGCAAAGTTGAATTTTCCACACCTGATTTGATCCCACGCGCCGCCGGAGAGAGTGGGAGTGGCGGGAGTTGCTCGGAAGCCAAACCTGCCGGAGGCTTGTTTGCCACCTTTGTCTGCGGCGGAGGATGGTTCACAGCCACAAGGGTCAAAGAAGAGGACAAACCTAGCTGATTTGCTTAATAGGTTAGCCAAGAATAGAAATCAAGTATGTACGTATGTATGAAATAAGGAAAAATCATCCATATGTTTGATTGATTAAGGTTTAATACCATTTTTTTGTCCTTATATTTCTAATGATTAAATGTTTTTTTTTTCTTTTACTCAATTTTTATGCAATTTAAGTATCAACAACTATTGGCCTATATATGATAATATTTGGTCCAAGATAATTAGAAAATGTCATATATCTAGTTAAAAACTTAAAGTTTGTGGTATATGAGATTTAAATTTTAAAGATTATAAAAACAAACAATAACATTTAATTGTATGCTACATAAAAATATAAAGTGTATATATATATATATATATATATATATGCAATTTAACTCGATCCACATTTTTGGAATACTGAATCACTACCTTTGAATTCAGAAAACACCATTTTGTGATTTGTATTCTGGAATCTGAAAATTTCATATATAAAGATAGAACATTTAGATTAACTCTCAAGAACAAATTTGATCTAAAATCTCAGAACTTTTAAACCCAGCTCTTTTTTTGTTCTTCGCCAACTTATTCAACAAATGAACTAAAGTTTTCTTTTTCTTGCTTGTTTCTATTTTTTTCAATGGCTCTGATGATGATAATACATCACCACCAAAAGAATTAGGAAAATTTAACTTAGCTTTACTTCCATGTATTTTGAAAGCAGCTCTATCATAAGCTAAACCTGCTTCTTCTTCAGTTACATAAGTCCCAAGCCAAACCCTAGCTCCATTTTTCTTTGGATCTCTTATCTCCGCCGCGAACTTCCCCCACGGCCGCCGTCTCACACCCCTATATCGCTTCCATTGGGGAGGCGCGTGAACTTCACGCGCTGCCCTAGGCTGTTCTCTTCCAGACACTTTCTTCTCATCGATGATATTTTCCATGCCATTAGAGTCCAAGTGTGTGGAACCATGTTCAAGCTCAAGTAGATATTGAAGAGATTGCAACGAAGAAAAATCATAACATGTTCTAGCATCCATGTTTTGGACGACGATGGTGAGTGATGTATGATGATGTTTGTTTTCTTCTTTTAACCTGTTCATGTCTTGAATATTTATACCACTGGGTTTGAGATTTATTTTCTTTTTTTTGTTTGCGTTTTGAAACTGAATTTAGAATTACGCTATTTCATTATTTTACTATTGATCATGTGGATTGGTTCTTTGAAATTTAGAGGAATAGTAGCATTGAAAGATAAACTGGCTGTATTAATTAGAGTAATCTTAATTACGTGTGTTGTTATACATTCATAATATTAATAAATAATTTTATTTATATTTTAACACGTTTACTACTTCAATATATATATATATATATATATATATATAATGAGACTTTGAAATTTCATAGATTCCCTCATGAGAATAGGAAGCATTCTTCCTTGTGAAGAAACTGTCGATCGATTCACTCTTTCACACACTTTTCTTAGCGTTCAAAAGGAAACTTTGGTAGCTTATAAAGAATAAATAGTAAAAGAAATAGTACAAATTAAAAAATGTTAAGAAAAATAAATATAATTAATTCGTATTTTGAATACCGAATAAGTTAACTATGGTGAGAAATTTGTGATGTAGATCATTCTACTTCTCCCAAGTCACAATTTCCTTTGGGAGATTATTATGAAAGAAAGTGTATACGTGTTTGAAGAAGAGAGACATGAACATGCATGTATTTGGAAGAACATGTGAAACACGTAAAACCTCACCGATAATGTTTCTTCTGTCGCAGCCGCCGAGAGAAGAGGAACCTGTTTTCCTTCTTAACTTTTTGTCTTTTTCATTTTGCTTGCTTGGATTAGTATGTTTGTGAAGTTATACAAGCAGGTTGTATGTAACACTCCATCTCTCGTTGTTCTGTCATAAAAAGAAAGGCGGTTTTCAAATAGATGCTAAATAATACACAAGATCTTAATTTTATTATTATCTTCTATGTTGGTGAGAAAAATAACTAATATAAAAAGTTAGATTTTTTATATTATCTTTGTTCAAACTTTCTTTTTGTGTAGTTCTAAAAATTTTGTAGTGGTTTTTCAACATCTTTTATTTTCGAATTGTGAGTTTTCTTTTTGTATAGAATTTAACTTTTTTGTTTTTCCTTAAGTTAATTCACAACTAAGACTTTTAATAATTTTTCATTGTAAAGTCTTTTTATATTGACAATTTTTCTTGAATGAAAACATTTTTTAGTTATGAGTATTCTTTGTAATCATTTTTACTACATCATAACATAATACTTTTATTTAAAATCTTCTTTAGAAACACATTTATATATTTTATATGTCACTTAACTTTCTCCTTTTTACTCAATATATATGTGACTTTCAATTTATTTTTGAATTTTTAATTGTCTTTCCTTAAGTGTAGGTTGGATTTTATCATGGGTTTCTATCACCTATTTATCTACACTTCCTCTTATTCTAACTACGGTTTGATTTTACCACATCATTGATATATTTATTTTTGTTTGATTTGAACCCCAAGACAAACTTGGCTCTAACTATTGATATTTTCTTACTAGTATAGACTATGAATGTTTATCATCAATTGAGGTATGAGTTGTCCATATAAGATAGCATGATACCACCTCTAACATAAAATCTTAAAGCTTATTTGAGTCAATCATTAAAACAAACCATCAACTTTGATACTAATAGGTCTATCTAGAGGAGATTCATTAGAGAAATTCAACAACTATAAGACATAGGTCAAACCTACGTAAGAGAATGACACACATCCAATAAAAAATATTAGAAGAATGAATTTACAGGCCTTCTTTCTTATATGTTTCAACCTTTTCATCTTTAGTCAATGTGTTAAATTCACATTTAGATTCCTTAATATAAAAAGTGACAATCTTACAAGTTATCGTCTTGCAATAATGACTCGTAATCTTGTAATAGTTGTTCGTAAACACATAGTAATCTCGTAATTATCTCATAGTCTAGTAATGAGTGCAATTAAAAAAGAGGTAGAGAACATATGAAGAAAAAACAATAATAGTTGAGCATGGAAAAACAAATATCCTATAAGGAATTTTTATGTTGATTGTAATTTAAATCAATATAGTTAAAGCTATAACTTAAATAGAAAATACATTTATGTTAGTTTAAATTACAACAAGTATAGTAAACTTAATTAAAGAGCTCTTATAAATTAACAAATGAATGAGTTTGTCTGAGCTTAAAACTAAAATACTTTTAAAAATAAAGGTGAAAAATATTTTTACAAAAACAAGATTTACATTTAGTTACAATTGTAATACCTAATTTATTTATACTATGATATGATTTTAAAGCAATTGAAGAATAAAAATGTCTTTTGAAAAATATTATATATAGGTTAAGACAATTTGTTTTTAGTTTCAAAACTAAAATGTTATCTCTAAACAGTTAACGCATTTAAACCTTATTTTAAGATTCTCAACTAGTTAGACATTTGTTCCATCATCATATTATACTTCTAAGAAGGTAGTAACAAATAGATCAAAGATACGTCAACCATAATCTTAATTTAGGAATGTTCTTATTCTCCTACAATTGATTATATATTTATTTTTTCCTTCGGTTATGTGTGTTAACGTTTTAGAGATTTTCTTAACTTACTAGGAACTCTTTTTTTTGCTAGATATGTTTTTTGAACAAAAAAAACTACCTCATGGTTAACAAAAGTTTATTAATATAGTTTAGATGTATTGGAATGTAATGATGGTTGGATTGAAGTTGATTTTTCCTTTGCATTAAAATTAGATGGAGTTATGGTTTTGAAATCAATTGGCAGTTTGACTAGTCACTTTAAGTTTAAATTGGTTCATATATAAGTTTTCATGAAAAATGGATTGTATTTGGTGTTTAAAATATGTGAAGAGGGTTAAAATTAATTAGAATGAATTATTCATTTGTTATGCATCGATGTTGGTTTTCTTCTTTTTTTTTTTTTAGTTTTTACTTGAGCATCAAGTTGACTTTGAACAACACTCAAGTGATGAATAATATATTGAGTATTATTGCACAAGTGTCACCATGTTTGTTTAAGCGATAATGATCATCACACAGTTTCGATTTAAGTTTTGAGCAATCATTATTACAAACAACACATAATATCGTTTATACGAAAAATTTTACATGAGTTAAAAATTTGATGTAAATACTACCAATTTAAAACATCTGGTACATATATCATTGGTTACTTAATTCATGTAAAAGTGTATTATCGTTGCATCAGTTTTTAATTTAACCGATAAAGTATTCCTCGTTAAGGAAAATATTACATCGATTTTGGGTTATAACTAATGTAATATCCTTTGTTGAGGGACATATGACATTGATTATAACTCAACCTCCTTTGTAATATATCCCTTAGCAAAGAATACCCAAAATTGATATAATATGTGTGATTTTTTTTAATGTAAAACTTATATTTTGTACAATCTTAACTTATAATTATCAATTAGAAACATTGCAATACACCACAAAAATATCTTTTAGTGATATATTACATAAATAATAAAACTTGTTAAAACACAGCGTTAATTACATCACACTTTAATGAATTAAACAATGAAAGAATGAAAAATTAGAAAAAGAAAATATAATTTTCTTCACGATAATATTATATTTTATTTATCCTAATGTTTTGTGTTATAAATAAAACATTTTATTTACTTGATTTTTTATTATATAAATAAAATATTTAATAAATATTTCAATTATACAAATAAAAATATATCTATTCCTAAATGAGAATAGTACAGTCAATGAAATACAATGAGAAAATGAAAAAGTATAGTCAAATCCATAATCCTCTTTGAACATCAAAGTTAAACAACATTTTTGTGATAACTAACCCAGGTTTGGATGTATTAGAATCATTACGATTTTTTTATATTCAAGACTGTGTAAATCATGTTCAAATTCAATAGGGTTTTCTAATTTTTAAAATAAAATAAAACTAAGAACGACATCTCATATTCCAATAAAAGCATGTTGATATATTTAATAATTCATCGAATCCAATAAAGAGAATTTGATAGAATAAAATATGGGATATGCCACCCAAAGAAAATGACATAATATTCTTTCCTTGTTTGGGTGATGTAACAAAGCATCTCATTGGTCACCAATTTTATTACAATTAATTAGTAACTACAGATAATAATCAATTTGTGTTTATGAAAGAAAAGGATAAACGATGATACAACAATTAATATAATAAATTTGAGAAAAAGAAATTCTTATTTGTTAATATATTCGTCCAAATAACAACTCTATAATACATATTTTTGTATATATTGAATATTTATGTACCATTCTCATCTTGATGTAAACATCAAATGGTAAAAGAAAATTAAAAAGGGACAGAAAATCACATAACCTTTATTTTTATCAATAATTAATTAGTTCAACGAAATTACTTCATTAAACTTAATTGCAAAATTAAAAAAAGCTTAAACATAAATTAATTTCCACTTTTTATTTTATTTAATGGCAGCTTTTGCATGAAAAAACATTTCAAACACTTGTACATGTTTCTATCGACACCCAACATATTCAACATCTCAGCCAATTTTTTCCAGTTCTTTCTTTGACTTATGCATCTCTCATGTCGGTGAGATGTAGATTTTCACTTAGAAACTTCAATAATACGTATTTATATTTATTTTTTATTCATAATTATCTTTTTTTAATATTACTTATTCACTAACCATATTTAAATTTATTTCGAATTTCTTTTGAGATACGATGAATGGCTTTTATTTGCAGACTCTTCATTGTAATAAAGTTAAAATAAAAGGAAAGACATTATTCCACAAATCAAATTATGAACCTTCACATGTTTTGTAACTTGATTCTATTTAATTATTGAGGTTTAATGTCTCAATAGGTCCCTATTTTTGTTCAGAATTTGAAATAGATCCCTTTATTTTATGGCTCTGAATTGAGTCTTTATTTTTGTTAATTTGATGCAAATAAATCTTTTCCGTC